AGACTCCCCCCAGTTCCCCACCCCCACTCCTAGCATTTCCCCTGCTCCTCGAGGTCCCCCGTCTCCTGCCTCCTCCCACTCGGGGTATTACTTGTGGCTGCCTGGCTTCCCAGGGAAGCAGTCGGGAAAAAGTTAAACTGCCTGCCTGGCCACTGCTGTGGCCGGGCTGCTGCTCTTCTGGCTCAGTGGGCCCAATCCAGGCCAGCAAAGGACGGGGGCAGGTGGGGTGTTTACACTAATATGCAGCCTGCTTTGGCTGCACCTTCGTGTAACACGAGCTGGATAGCACAGATCAAAGGTAATCCTGCCCTGGCTTGGCATAACTTTGAGCATAACGAGTGCTTAGAACAAGTTTCAAGTGTTAATGTATAGACAATCCAGGGGTTAAGAGCTCTAGAAGGCTCTCAAAATGACTGTGTAACAAGGCCTTCAGACTGTCTATCAACTTAAGTGCTTGACTATGTTTACAAAATTTGGCCCTGCTTCCATGAACACTCATTATTGTGTTTGATCCCCTAGAAGCCAATAGGACTGTAGAATAGAACAGAACTATCTGCAGGATCAGGACCTATACATACAACTCTATACAGTACCTAGTTTGCACATGCAGTGACTATTTTTGACTGGGTAGTCATATGTGGAAGTTGTTAATGAGGACTATTTATGCATACGCAATCATAATGGCCTGACATATATTTGCCACTGAATTATAATGGTTTGGTCCAACAAAAGCTATACTAACTGGTAAAATAATCTGCTCTGGCAACAACCAAGTTTAGCAATCGTATTGTAGTGGACTTTTGCAGATAGGATTTTCTCCTGCTGACGTACGTAATATGGAGCATATAATGGAGGGCAGAAATAGTCTCACAGTCTATTATAAATGGAGAAAAATAATAAAAAGACTTTAGCCAGGTCCTTTGCTATCACAGACCATAGCCACATGAGTGTGCACATACATTTTGCAGCACCTCAAAAGCTTTTGGGGAGTCTGGTTCAAGATGTTCTAGGATTCTTTCCTAAACAGTTGTGTCAATTATGGGAGACCTTGTCTTCCTTCATGGAGAACCATGAGAAAGCTTTGGAGGACTCTTAGCACACAAATGATTTAGTCTGTCTCCTCACGGCAAGGTAGATGGGTTCCAGCCCAAGCTAATGCAGGATCCAAGCTCTTATCCCACCCCCGAGGTGTGTAGATTTGCTATGGCATGAGCACTTCTGCACATGGGTAAGAAAATTTTGTGCAAGGAGAGTAGAAAGGCTTGTCCTAAAATCCAAGTAAAATCTTGACTTAACTGCAATGAAGACATAATCCTGTTCTATGCTTCCTTGTATAATACTAAACTTTTCTCATCAGATGAAATGAGACACTTGAAAAAGTGGTTGTGCAGTGTTTGGAGGGAAGTGTGCCATGAAACACGGCACACCACTGGGACCTAAGAAAGGGCTGTCCCATGGCATTGAGGTTAGCTGCCTCCACCACTCATAGAAACGGAGGAAAGAAGTGGGCTTTAGTCTCTCCTGGGAATGACAGAGCCTTACCTTGATTTGGCACTGGTGTCAGAGGCTGATCAGGAGAGGCCTAGTTGGGGCTTAAAGGACAGGGTGGAAAGCAGCTTCCCTCAAGGAGTGTAGAGTCAATATCAAAGTTCAAGGCTGTAAAGGCATTGTACTTTAAACAGAGAGTGATCTGAGAGTAAAAGCGCTAGTATTTCAACACTACGAACACCTTTGGACCCTCTGTACACACTGATGAGCCTTCCATGCATTATTTTACTTCTCCGTCTCTGAGTCTCACGGAGATTACTCTGTGGTACCTCTATTTTGTGCTACTTACTTCAGATTAGGGTTGGCAAGCTAGTCAATTGACTGATCAAATATTGTCGATTGACTGGTCAAAGATTATAGCAATTTTACCAAAAAAATGCATTTTCTGTAGTTTTCTTGACAGAAATATGATTTTTTTTAATTGTTTTTGACAGATTTCTTAATGAAAAAAATGTACCTTTTCTGTGGATTATTTGGACCTATTGGCAATTTAGACCAATTGACCAATATTCAGTCTATTGACTGAACTTTATTTGACCAGTCAAATACCCAACCCTACTTCAGATACAAACTTATTTCTTTCTTTACCACCTGCAATTCC